ACAACCCTCACCTCTGGAAGCTAGTTGGAACTTTTGAATACTCTTGCTTCCCTCCGGACTTGGGACCGGAGCAGCTCAGGCTCTGACAATGTTTGCCATGGCGCGCGAGGAGAAGACGGACTGTACTAGCCTGACCTCGCCTGAGCCGAGAGGCTTACAATGGGAGCAGCAGCAGCAACAACAACAACAACAGCAGCAGCAATGACAACCGCAAACCACAAGAACCACAACAACCACAACCACAACAACATCAACAACACCAGCGCAAGAGCACCAGCACCACCGCCACCGTCGCCGCCCGCGTCGCCGACCCCCACCTCCACAACCATCCCCGCCACCACCACAATAACAACAGCAGCAGCAGCTGCGGCTGCCGCCAGAAAAAGCGCATCAAGCGCGAAGCACACAGAATTGCCTACGATCACGGGGCAGTTATGCTCAAGTGTAGTTTTGGCAGAAGTGTTGTTGACAAGACATCTTGAGGCGCACCTTGTAACGTCTCCTGCCGAAAACGACACTCCTCTACTGATCAGCCGGCAAGTGTCAGATGCGCCGAGACCTTGGTGCACAGAGTCTTATCGCAGCATGTTCCTGCATGAGTGTGCTGATGCGCCGTGTACCTAGTACATTGGAACAACAACACTCCAGCAGTTCTGGGGTGGGCTTCTAGCGATCTGAGGTCCGACGTCCACCAGACGGCAAGCTCCCAAGAGAAGCCTTGAGTCAGTCGATTTCGCTCACAAACATCCAGTTGTCAGGCACCGGAAGTTCCGGCTGCCGAATCCAACCAGCCATGCACAGTCCAGCAAGGCACACCAGAGCCAGAGCAGCCAAAGCAGCCAGAGGCCAGCGGCCTGGGTCCCACGCTGGAGGCGACTGAGCCTCCTTCGGGTAGAGGTATGGACGAGCAAACTGCAGAGCAAGATGGAAAGCCGACTCAACTGGAATCAAACGCGCACGAGCAGGAACCGCCAGCAGCACTGCCAGGTGTAGAGGGTGCAGCTGGTTCACAGGGAGAAGACGAGCTTCGGCACATCGAGCAGTCAGCAGAGGAGCCGCAGCCACCACAGCTGCAGCAGGAGAATTGGCCCTCAAGAGACCAGGAGCAAAAAAGGCGCGAAGACATGATCCATGCCTGTGTCGGTCCTTAATTGCACATATGACATATGTCGAATATCCACAGGAGCGCCCAAGCCACAGCAAGCAGAAAGACTCTGCCGGACAAGCCAGAGGCCAGCGGGTGCCCACCCTGTCACAAGATTGCCGCAAGTGCAGATGTCACGGGTTCCGTGCATTTCGAGCCTGATCGCCACACCGCCTCCAGATATCCATGAAATTGAGAAGTTGAACTTGGGTGATATGACCGCAAGAGACCCGATTTGTGATTCAGCAGCACGAGTTTTGCACAAGACTGAGATGCAGAACTGAACATTTGCACCCTTCCTAGGTGGAGCAGGTGGAGTGAGACGAGAGCCGACTTTTCAGAAAATTACATCTAGAGACAACCACCTGACAAACGAACCGTGCAGAATCGGGCTTCACGGCAAGGACTGTGCCAGCACGAGCCGGCAAAGCGGTTCCCAAACGTTCAATGCCATTCCTTTCAGTTGACTCGCAAAATGCAAACCGCTCTCAGAGTGATGAAGCGTGTCCGCGGCCACCTCCGACACACCTTCGCTTGCCAAACTTACTGCTGCTCCAAGTCAGGAGGTCTCTTCCAGAAAATCCTCTGCCCAAGGACCCAAGGAATTAGTAATTAGTGAAAGTGGTCCGGGCTCGTGGCTGCAGCTAAGAGAAGACGCAACAGACGGTGTCAACGGGAAAGCCGGAGACTCCTTCAAGAGCCTTCCCGGCCCTTCCTGATTGTGAAGTAAAGTGCGTCTGCTTCGTGGTATTGCATGAAGTTGCAGGACAGCCTCTTCGGCTCGTCAAAAACAGCACGCGGCTCCACCACGTCCCTTTTCGATGATGACGATGACGAGGCTAGAGTCTTTCGCAAGAACTGTTTCTGTCTAAAACAGTTCAGAAGTCAGTATCTGGTTCAGACTTCTTTCATGTTCTTCCGACCTCGAGAGTGTAGTCCAACACTGCCTTGCATCATTTCCTCGCAGTGTATCGAATCCAATGTCAGGTCTTCCTGGCCAAGCCAAAGAAGGCGTCGTCGCCGAGCAAGACAAGGCTCAGCTGCCTGCTGCTGCGATTTCGAGTGCCGCCCCTGCATTGCCATAACACCAGCCGCTGCCGGCCCGTGCAGATCAGATGCGTCCACAACCAACACTGGACCCACACACTCCTTTCAGGATCTAGCTGTCTCGCTTGGCATACAGTCAACCATTCGGCTGCGTTGAAACAAGAGAGCCTGCCTGCATATTAACAATCCAGAAAAGAGCCGGCTGACTATGCTCCTGACCGTGAGCTCCTCGCAACATGCTGCAGCAAGGGAGCATGAGTGGCTGGGCCCTCGCCGTGCCGCTCGGCATACAAGTATGCGAGCCAAAAAACAAGTTCTGGCTTTCCGGGTGTTTGTTCAACTTCCAGGCTGCTCGTTCTCACACTCCTCCTGCTGTGCAGCGCCTGCTGTGGAAGACGAGTCGCCAAATGCTTTGTCGATCCCCGACGAGGCGTTCAAGTGTCTTTGTGTCCTGTTCAAGTTTGCACAAATTAAATGTATTTTGCGTGTACCTGGATAAACATGACGATGGGGTTTCATAGCATCAGCAGCGCGGATAGAATTGCCTCACAAAGCAGCTCTTAAAAGGCTTGCACAAGTATATCCTGCTCTCGTTCATCTGCCTTTTCATTCCTGGTCCATACTTCCACGTTGCCTGTCAAGCAATGGCATAGTGAGGATTGTCGAAGCATATGGTTTGCCATGTTCGCCACCACTTTAGCCAGTGATGACCGCTGAGGATGGCCTTGTGCAGAGCTTCAAGGGTCCAATCTCTGCAGCTGGGATGGATTGCCAATACGTTGTTCTGCCAACCGCATGGCTGACCGCATGGCACACGTACACAACTTTGCATAGCATCACTGAGGATACAATGGATCTGAGCAACTCCCAGTTTGCTTCGCTCTTCGTCGTTAGCTCGCTGACAGGCATCGAATGCCAAGCTGTTGAGAACTTAACTCCTGGAAGTGCCTGAGAGATGCTCGAATTTGCATAGAGCGTGGTTAATCTTACCCCTTTGGCTGCAGGGGTGCTTTGTTCTCCGGGCAGTGGCTTGGCCGCACTACCGTGACCAAACACACGTTAATCTGATCTGATATATCAGACTGAGACGGCGCCACATCCTCAGGCTTGTTGATTTCTCGCGTGGGGCGCACGAGCAGTGCCATAGCGGCGAGCTTTTTGGCTGCGATAGGCGCGATTGGCGGGGACATGGAGCAGGGACCAGGGATTTGAAAACTTGGCAGTATACGACCAGACAGCCTCTAAGCACGGTGCATGAACGAAGACGACGCTTAGCAGACACCGTTTGCCAGGGGTGTTGATGTAGCACAGTTTGAAAGAAGCTAGCTTTTCATCGGTGTGCCGCAGAGCATTTCGTTCTCCACTTCTCTTCAGGCCTCAATCCGATAGAACATGATAGGACTCTCTAAGTCCCATTTGGCTGCTATTCCTCCTCTTGGCCCGCCTTCCTGACCGCAAGATATCGCAAGCTGGAGGAAGGGTGGTGGTGATGAATTTGCCATACGAGTGCGAGAGATATACTGCTCAATCTGAGCTATGTTCAGCTCTTACTTCCTGCCTAGTCTCGCCCCCTTGATTCGCACAGCCACTAGAACAAAGCCTGCACAGCATTACTATTGGCGGCACCACCTTCGGTTGGTAGAAAAGATGCTTGCCGGCAATGTGCATGCTACAATGCCTCGACCAAAGCGAATTGGAGGATGACTGACTGTAGTACTTTGTACAATGCAGTGGCAAGAATGCGAGACACATCTCGGGCTGAAGATGCCCGGACCTAGCCCAAACATGCCTAAAAGAACCCGGTTAATCTGTCCGAGAAAGACTTTCGGTCATGAGTGACCTCGTCCAGCAGTGTCCTCGCACGGCACGTACAGTAGGTCCCCTGAGACTGCTAGTCCTGACTCCGTAGTGACCTGCGACAGGCTCCAGTGTCACCACCATGGGATACCTGTGGAAAAGTTTGGTGCTGATGCTCTTGGGAAGGCTCCTGTTCTGGTTAGGCCTGAATGCACCTTGGCACATGAAGCTTCTCACTACCACATCATTCGATTACTTGCTCCACGTCCAAAGCACCATGTCTAAAGCCTGATTGTGCGGCCTTGAGACAGCAGGTTCTGCTCATGGTGCAAACCATTTTGACATACGATCTCTTCAAAGGACCGGCAGCAAAGCAGTCTTTTCTTCAAGAGCGACTCTTCAAGTCACGATTACAGACAATCTTGGCGGTTTGCCAACTTGAGCAAGTCAAGCAAGTACCCAGACGGTCAAGAAGTGTACCATCGTAGGGAGATCAAGCGGGCAGCTTTGAGATGCTTTCAGCTCATGTCAGCACGGGATCCATGTAAAAGATGCTGTGATCTGGACAGGAAGAAGCTTGAATTGTGCCATGACCACCATCGTGCTCTCAATCCGTTTGGGAGGCGAAGTGCCAATAATTTCTAATCCTCAGGCTTCATGCTATGGGTGAGTACGCTGTGAGATTGAATTGCATGGTAGAGCACCTGTGAGAAGCTGGCTGTTGGGCAGAATGGAGATTCCTGGCAGAACTTGAAGTGGTGTTGTCCTGACGCACAGCACCCAGGCAGCATGTCCTATCCGATGTCTGGGCCACTTCTCCACAGCCTTGGTGTGTTAGATTCGTTGTGGTTCTCAGCAGCTTGGTCGCGACTTCAGTCGTGGAACGTGAGCATGTAGATAGCCAAGCTTAGCTGAACATGACTCTGCCTCGAGGCTCGACAGCAATTAAAAACATGTCTGAGCTGTCTGAGGTGATGCTGGTTGTGGCGGCATTCCTTTCGACTCTGTTGTTTGGTTATTTGTTTCAGTGGACGGCCACTGCTCGGGCTGTTCGTCCGATGCTGGAGCGGCGACAGCCACCATCTCGCATAGAGCTGGCTTTGATTCGAAAGGTCCCCAAGCTCGCCGCTGCCCAAGCCAAGCGGAGGGGTTTCAACTCAAAGCAGCACGTGCTTCCGTGAAACTTGCTTTAACACCGGAGCAAAGCAATCCTCTGGCACTCCATGACTGCAGCGGCTGAGGTCTTTGTATTCTTGTCTGGTATTGCAGCTATTTGGGGTGTCGTCTTTCCGTTTGAAGTGATTGGCGACGACATGCTCCAAAAGGAATTCGGATACTCGGCCGACAACGCCGGCTTCATCATTGCCTTGGCTCCTATGATTTCAATCTGCAGCCCTGCTTTCGCACCCTTGCTCGGATCCAGTTTGTCACACAAGCTGGTGGCTTTTGGCTCTTCGGTTGCAACTGAGAGCATCTTCTGCTTGCAGAAACTTTCTACCGCCGTGTACGTAATCCAGCAATCGGCCATCGGATTGCAGCTCTTTCGGTTCTCAGCGGCAAAACGGCGTCATCATCGCGCATGCTCCGTTACGACACAGATTGAAGGTACTTTCAGCACCAGGCGGTTATAACCCAATTTCAAAAGCTTGGTTGCTCTTGGGACATGAGCAGAGTCAGGTAAAGGCAAAGGCCGGCTCCTGCGAGCGCCTCTGGGAGCTGACTCTAAGGAACCGGCATGCTGCTCCTTGTGATTGCATTCTTGGTGATCGCTGTGCTGAGATGGATCGTTCTCGGCATTCTGCTTGTGGGACTTGGATACGCAGTGTCTCGGAATGCATAACTTGTCAAGGATAGCTGTAGGCGTTACCACGACGGAGGCCTCGAAATCTTCGCAGCTTAGGTATCTGTATGTGCTTCATACAGTACTCTCCCTCTGATCATTGCTGCCGTCGCCCCTGCTGATCTTCAGAAGAAGATGGAAAGCTTGGCAGTGGGCATGAATCAAGCGGGTTCTGGGACGAGCATGATTGTCTCGAACCTCACGATAGGCATTATCAAGGACTCCTGTCCAATTTGTCTGGTCTGCTAGGATTGTCGTTATCGTTCTGTCAGGACCTAGCTTCTTACAGATGGGCCTGTGTCTATCTCGCAGTGGTGGCCTGTTGTGGACTTGCAAGTGCCCCTGGGCACTGTTTGCAGCGATCTCTGCTTTGCGCACCGCACCGCTAGAGAGGTTGGCAGCTGGTGTGACGGAAGTTGCCGCATTGCCAAACAGGAGAGACACTAGGACTCTGTTCAGGTTTGCTTCGTGTTCAAAACCTGTCCACGAGAACTTTGCGATCCCTCCGTCGAGACTCCAATGGAGGCCAGAGCAGAAGTTTTGCGATTCATTCGCCATCGGGCACGTAGGCACTGTCTGCTGTTGTTCTAATGTTTTCCTTTGCGCAACTCAAGTCTACACGAAGCTAACTTGTCATTGGAAGGAACAGCTGTCAGGTGGAATCAACATGCAATCTCATGTGAGTTGTTCGGGAAAGGCTGGTTCCGCAAATAGCCAAATGTCCGTTGTTCCAGCTGGTCCAGGATGTATCGACCGTGGCTGGGATGGATGCTCCGGCAAGCCTGCAGACGAGCCAATCGGGGAGTGCTCTCGAAATTCAGGATGAGTACTACCGGCCGGAAACTAAGACCTTCCTCATGCCCGGCCTTCCGTCTTTTTCGCCGCTCGAAGCAAAGGACAGATGCGTGATGGACATGGGACTTGTTTGGATGTGTGCGTCTCAACATGCTCCTGTGTTGATCTGTACATAAGTATGTGGTGCCATGATTGAAACTTGCAAGACTCGCAAAGAAACCGGGTGTAGCATGTGCTGCATGACACATACAGATGTGTTGTAGATCGAAATGGCATGTACATAAACGGGTGCATGGACACCGCCAGAATAGGTTGACTACTTAGTAAGCTTCTTGCGCCAAAAAGCTGCACACCGGACGCCCTTCGCTCCTCTCAGGCATGTAGCGCTGCAACGCGCTGCAGCTGTTGCAGTCCAAATTCTTTACCGGCGGTGCCATGGAAATATTCGTGAACATGGACCACTTCATACCTCAGCCGTTGGGTTCAAGGCTTGAGTCGCTGAGTCTCACTGTCATGTGCTGCACACTACAACCACAGCCTACAAGATCTTACCTGAAAGGATGAAAGGTATACAAAAGCTAGAGGAAGCAGCCAACGTTTTACAGTGATCCTGTATGTCCGCCCAATGGCCGCTGTGGCAGTAGAGCGATGCCCAGATGGCCAGCATCGCCTGGTGGCACTGCGCCATTTGGAGGCAGACGAGGCTCGGTCGAAGCACGAAGATGTGTCGGTTACTGTGTTACGACATGGTATTCATGCATGTCAATCGGGCAACTCCTGACCGGCATGACATACCAACACCAGAAGCATTTCATTGCAATCTGTCTGCTTCTGTGCAGCTTTCACAATCTGGTTTCGAGCTGCCATCGAACGTGACGGTGTGACGTCTTCGTTGGACAGGAAGGTACATATTTTTGTTTGGCTTTTGCTCTTCCTGCCTTGTAATGTGACATAGGTACAAACGGGGAAACCATCACACCTCGCCAAGTGTTGATCGTTGTGTTTGGCATGGGCAAGAATTGCTTCGACCATAAGTGCGAGGCGTTGCATCTGTAGTTATGCTTGCTGGAAATTGTTTGCAATGTCTAACACGGTGAATTCGTTCGTCAACGGGTATTGATGAATGCTCTCTAGCCAAAGCATGCAATTGGCTCGTGTGGTAATGTGTCAGCCGCCCTTCTTGCTGCACTTGCCCTGACAAGACGTGTGCAAGACGAGTCTGACAGTCGGAGCAGATGAAGCAATGGCTTTGTGTGGTAATGTGTCAGACGCCCTTCTGGCTGCACTTGCCCTGACAAGAAGTGTGCAAGACGAGTCTGAGAGCCGTAGCAGACGAGCTGCACCGTGCCTTATTCCCAACTGAAAGCTTCCATAGGAAAGTTTATGCCAAACCAAAGCGAGCATCCAAAGGTTGTGGTGATTCATACACGACTGACAAATTTGGGAAAAGGCTTTCGCACATCGCCGGATCCGGCTATGTGTCGCTTGGGAACTCAGGCTGACTCGTTGCATATTTTGAAGTGAGAGCAAATCTTTTTCTGCTGCTTACAGTCACAGCTCGCATCAGGCGATTCTGGAGGAGACGCCACTTCTCGAAATGTGCGGGACTTGGCAGACTGGGGAACCTGGGAGGCTGCAGCTATGCGGTCTAAAGCGGGTTGATCCAGTTTGCAAGGCCGGATGAAGAGATTCTTGAGCTAAAATGCTCCCGCTATGTGGCGGCATGGCGCTTTGCCTGCAAAAGCGTTGGTCAGGAGCCGCGGCAGATCGGAGTGAAGTCCAGAGAGCATTGCCAGGCAAAGCAGGCAAAGGTGACTTAGCAGCCGCAGCCACTCTATCCTGTAGCCTTTGTCGCCTTACCCAGCTTGGCAGTCGGCAGGACGGCATACAGAAAATCTTCGCGCACAACTTTTCTGAGGGCGCAGCAGCAGGAAGCAAAGCCCGACATGTTTGCCAAGCAGTGAAGGCTGAGGCTGTGGCTGCATGGCACGGCAGGAACGGGAACAAGCTGGATTCCAGCTGTGTGCTGTGCTGAGTGGAGGTGCCTTTCGCACAGCAGCAAAGCGCTTCCCGATTCCTTGCGTGTAGCCCAGCACAGCCACGGAATTCCCTCCCGGGTGAGATGGAGCACCTTCGTTGGCTTAGATGATCCTCATGTCGAACTGCTTTCGCTTCAGAGGCACCTAAGCGGCTGCTTCGATCGTCTTGCAACATCCCAACATCATGTGGAGACGCACAGTCAACATGTTCCTTTGGCAGGTCGAAAGGGCAGCACTACTGCCCTTTTCGAGGTTATGTCGCGTGCTAACCATTCGTGCCTCCCAAATGCCCGGATGGTCGGTGATGGCCATCCAGCGATGCTCATGACAACAACGTATGTCAATTCTCAGGACAGGGACTTGTCATGATTGTACCAGTTGCACGGCTTGAAGTGCTTTGGCCATTCACTGAAGCAAGTATAAAGAGAACATCATGGCCTGGATTCATCACGCTGTTTCGTGCTAGCGTGCAAACATAATCAGAAATCAGCTATCGGTGGCAATCGTGGTTCCACGATGTGCTAGATGTTTCGCTACTGCAGAGAATGTTCGGGAGTTGCTTGTGCTGATAGGTGAAGATCGTCCTTGTGTTTTCGTGCATGTACAGTCCCACTGACTTTAATTTGTTGGCGTCTGTCCATCGAACGAAACAGCAGCTACCTGCTGCCAGTATTCCGACAGCTTCTCACCCGCGCAGGAAGAGATCTTCCTGAGCTACGGAGGATGGGAAACGGGCTTTACTGAGCAGCCATTCCATCAGCGCCAGAGCCATCTGCTGGACAATTGGGGCTTTTTTTGCCGGTGCTCTCGCTGTCAAGAGGAAGAAGCTCTTCAGATCAAGCCGGACGTAACACAAATCTCAGCAGGCTCCGCCGCCTGATCTGTGTTTGCATTTGCGGACATTCCCTGTCGTGTCCAAGCACTTGCTGGTTCGTCCGCGGTGTGAGGGATGTTGGCCGTGAGTGTCAGCGCTCACAGTGTTGGAATAGCTGCGTGTGCGCATGTTTCAAAGCTGCTGGCAGCTGCCAGATGCCAGCCCAGAAAAGATGTGCGGTGTTGCATGTGTGCTCATTCCCTTTGCTGTAGGCCAAAGCTTGCTTGTACTGCTCGAGCAATCGTTCCAGGGCATCCTTATTTGGCGACGATTCGGACGACGACTTCTTGACTAAGAAGTGAAAAAGACTGGTCCGCCATCAAGCTGTCTCTTTGCATCGCATCTTAAATTTTTCGGTCCAAAGCTTGCTAGCATCTCAAAAGTCTCGAAGCAGTGCTCTGGGTGGTTAGCAGCAAGAAGCAGACAATGCGGGGAGCCAACTCGGTGCAGATCGAGGGTCTTTGCTCCAGTAATTCCGATCGGGTTGGGTTGGAAATCAACATTTGTAGTCACTTGTAACATGTGTGAAGTCGGCCACCGCCTAGCCGCCTAGCCATCGAAGACGAGTCGAAATTGTGTTGTGATATTGTAGTTACTTGTGAAATCAAAATATGAGCTTAACATCATATGAGAGTACATACATATAAATATACTGGAAATCGATGTCTCCTCATTATCGATCTCGAAGGATCCGCCTAATGAGATGGTAGCAGGGGGGGGGGGTCATGTTCACGCGTGATGACGCTCCAAGACAGTTCTCGTCGGGTGTCGTCACAGATCATGCAGTGGTGGCTCCCGAGGAAAACCCAGATCTGTATGGTAGAGCTGCTGCTCGCTGCCCTAGTTGCGTTCCAGACAATTCATGAATCCCTTAGGGGTAAGCTCGTGCTCCTCTTTATCGATTCGGAGCCGGTCGAGGCAGCCTTGATCAAGTGCTAATGTGCCAAGGAGGATGTATGCGAGCTCGTAGGAATTTTCTAGGATCTGATCCTTGAGCTGAGATGTTCAGTTTACATCGATTCGGATGAATGTGGAGCGATCGCCAGCTTCATCTGGTGCGCCCCTCCGGTGATCCGAGCACCCATTCGGAATGATGAAGATCAGAGATGTTCGAGTTTTGATCTGTGGCCGACTCCCACGTTGCGGTAGCACAAAATTCTTGCTCGTGCGACTGTGGGGCTGTTCAGCGAGTGAGCGTTGGAGACCTTGGAAATTGGTCTCCTAACTACCGGTCTGGTAGGTAGGCATTAGGAGGTCAGTTTACATGATCGTAAGAACAGCCATGATCCGGTCTTTCCGTGGTCATTTTGGCGATAAGCCGATCGGCCCAGATTTTGGATCCCGCCCAATTGACCACTCGGGAGGATCGAAATGCTGGCTTTTGTTGGTCTCCAGACTCTCGCCTATGGGACTTGTGATGCTCTGCCGGTCGTGCATGGCTTGCGATCTCCATACGGGCTGCTTCTTTAAGAAAATTAATATATAAAAATTAGTCCAAAATCAATACTTGATATATATATATATTGAGAAGTCAAATATAAGTTGATAAGCCCTTGGTAGGCTTAAGATTTCTTTTGGGTATGGAGGCCAAAACC